GTGCAATTAAACATAAACGACAGTGAATAAAAGAGACTATGTCCTCTCATTCAAATCTTCATCCGTTACATTGTCTTGGCCGTTCCTGGGTCAATTTCCAACTCTAGGTTGTCTGTTTACTCCGGGGTTCTGAATGCTTGCTCGAAGAGCCAAGTTTTTACTATTTTTCGGAATGTCAGGAGGGAAGGGGCTGATCTAATATCCCTAAGGAGGGAGTTCCACAGCTGGGGGGGCCACCACAGAGAAGGCCTTGTCCCTCATCCCTGCCAGGCATGCCTGCGAAGCAGAGAATTGTATGACTCTAACAGAGAATTGTATGACTGCATAGAACCCATGACAGTAACCAGTCAATAAACTGTTCCTATTGACTCCAGACTAATATCAAACAGGGAATCTGTTTGATCAAAGCCAGGAAAGAGCCACAATGTTTCTGCACTATTTTAGGGTCTCCTGGAGACCAGTGACACACCTGGCATTTTTGACCCTTACATTAGAACTACTGTTACATTCTTATAAAAAGTTATTTTAACTCAGGGTGCAGCAGCTTTAAGCAAACTTGGTTCTTTAGATTCTCTCCCTTGTCAACACCTTCAATGAAATTCAAGAGCACTTCCAGACAGGGCCAAAACGCGGGACAGAGAAGTGGGTTTTTAAAATGCAGGACTTCAAAGAGAGTCCAAGCACAGACCTCTCAATCCTGCTGCAAAGTCCCCTGCCATCCCCACAGCTATTTTTTGAAGCGGATTAAGATGGAGGGCAGATGGGGGATGTAGTGAATCCACTACCAGTTAGGCTTAGAGAAGCCTAGGAAGAAGTAGGCCCAAGAGGTTCGGCAGCCATCTTGGAAAGGGTGGTGGGTGAATCTATTTTAGTCACTCATTTTCTGAAGGGAGCGTGTTTCATAAAAGCAGCTTTGGAGGGAAATGAGAGAGGAATGTTATTGGCTAAGTTGGAATGGGTGGAGCCTAACTTGGCAAGAGGGGGAAATTGTCTTTAAAGAGAGGTTTTTAAATCCCTGTCAGAAGATTGAACTTGGGTGTTGAAGGGAGAGGGTGTTAGCAGATTAGAGGGTTAGAGAGAGAGAAAGGCCTGAGTTTGGGCAGAGTTATTAGCAGGGATAGCTAGTAGGAAGTTAACAGCTATTAGGAAGATAGCTGGGAAGTAGAAAGAGAGATCCAGGTTAGGACTATCTGTGCTCATTTAAGAATTACTGTCAGAGAAACTATCCTGTCAGTATTCTTGTGTGGAGGGAGAAAGGAGAGTTTCTTATGTAAGTAAGTCAAAACTGTTTATGTAACCACACACTTTCAAGACAAATCTCTGAAACAGCCAAGCTTTGTACCTGAATTGTTCCTGTTCTTGTAAATAAACTTCATTGTTTATTTTTCAATACATCTGACTCAAGTGTGCCTCTGTGCTTAAAGGTTCAAAAGCAGCTTTAAGCAGAAAACAAGAAGTAAATGGTGGCAGCATATGTTTTAAGAACTATCTTAAAAGGGTACCTCAGAAACACAAGCCTGAGGACTAAAACCATCATACTCTTTCACAAGATACCTCAAGTAAGCCAAGGGCTTATCAGCGCTTCTAAGTGGGGGGTGACATTCGGGGAGAATTTCATCCTAGATTTGATGTGTTTCCTCCACCACAGGCAGGTATCCCAGGGTTCCTTGTGTGGAATTTGCATGACCCTGCCCACTGTCTCTCCTTTAACCCTTTCCTACCCTTTCCTACGGCACACAGCAAACATAAGGGAATTGATCAGCAACTGAATAGACTGAAGAGGTTTGGAGGACTGAGGCCAGCTGTAAATACTAGCAGGATTTGGGGGTCACTGCCCTTGGCATATGGGAGTTGTAGTTCACCCTTATCCAGAGAGCACTGAACCAGCCGAGAACAGATCTGGACCAAACTTGGCACACACGCCCAACATGGCCAACTGTGCAAACAGGCCTTGTTTGGGGAGGATTGACCCACATTGTTATGTATTTTCTAATGGGAGCGTTCATAAAAACGAAACCAAAGACTGACTTTTCCCTGATAAATAGTGTTACTAATTAACTGAATTATATTACCTAAAACAAACAATGCCTTTTTTCAAATAACCCAGGCACCACCAGGTACCCAAACTAGTTTCTAATAAATGTAATAGTACTCAGTCATTCTCAGTTAAAGCAAAAGGCAACTATGGATATAAAATCCATGGATTCAATAGCCATAGTTTCACTAAGGCACACTTCAAAAATATTTTGGTACTGTTAAAGATAGTTCATTATCCAGGTGGAGGCCACAAGGGGTGCTAGAAAGAGATGGATAATTCATTTGGGGGGAAGGATTGGAGGAGTAAAACCATTTCCCTGTTTTCCTGTTGTTCCTCCACCCATGTCTCCATTGTGGAAACAACCCTTGTTTATGATATAGGAAAAGGGGATGGGGTATAACCTGCGAAAACGAGGGTAATGGTTTCCCTCCTTCAACTCCCCCCTGTAAAGTGGATTATCCTTCTTTCTCTAGTGCCCCCTAGTGGCCTTAACCCGGATAATAGAATAATACCAATATTTCTCCTCCTCGGAAAATTTTGTGAGCCTCTCTAAGTCCTCCAGTCTGATTCTGTCGTGTGCTTCCAAGTATGCTATAAATAGAGGGTTTGTTATTATTCATGGTTTCAGGCATCCATGGGAGGAGGTCTCCGAACATATCCCCCACAGATATGGGGGTCTCAGCAAAGTCAGCAAGAGGTAGTGTGTCTCCATCTGTATAGGGACATCTTCTTACCGGGTTTTGTTATTCTCACTGCTAATGTGGCAAGTTCATTTGTAAACAGGGATGTGTCTACAGGGAGAGCAAAATGAATTATTATTAGGGAATTGCCTCTCCCTAATAAGAATTCCGCTATCCCCATGAAACTCATTCATTCTCTAAATTTCTAGCATTTCAAAGACTGGGGCACTAAAAGTAGTTGATGCCGAGAACTCTGGGTATTATATGCTGTGTTTTACTGCCTTGGTGGCTGTGCCTGCATTTGTTTTACTTGGCTATGTGACTTTTTTGTGGGAAGCTTCTCTGAAGTCCCCACATGGGGAGCTGGAGCTGACAGAGGGAGCTCCAGCCTGTTGGTCTTTAACTTATCTAACCTTATTGTCATGCTGGACATTTGAGAAGTGAAGAAACATTTCATAGAGGAAGCAGATTTTTTTTATTGGGAAGCAATGCCTTTATTCCCCCTTACTTACTTAGGCAATCCCTCGTTGTCCAAGTAGGATAATCCTCCAGGGTAGGTCCGTAGAGTGACTGTGGAGCCCTATTCTAGATCTGCATCTTCTCCCGCAGTGAGGGCATTGGTTTCCAGGTGGAAGGCGGTCTCGGTCGGGGTTGGCTTGACGCACCTTCCTCTTGGCACATTTCTCTCTTTCACCCTCCATTCCTGCTTCTTCAAATTGTGCAGCACTGCTGGTCACAGCTGACCACCAGCTGGAGCACTCAAGGGCCAGGGCTTCCCAGTTCTCAGTGTCTATGCCAGAGTTTTAAGGTTGGCATTCCCTCCACCCCAACCTCAAAAGCTATACTCCTGCTATTAAAGCAATGTCTGCTCATGATGATACAGTCCTCTGAGTTCTGTAAGCATTCTCAAGGCTCTTCCTCTAGTGGAACTTCAGATAGAAATAGCTAAACTCTTCAACAAACTTTGAGTGTCACTGTTCCAGGAAAATTATTAGGTGAGATCAAATACTTATAAAGTCATTTAGAATTATTTAAGACAGAATAAAGCTTGAAATGTCCATATTTGTTGGTCAGAATTTTCAAGAGGGAAATAGTAAAAATCTCCAGCTTTCAAAATCTGGTTGGTATTGCCAAGTTAGACTGTAGTTTTAAACCTTCAAATTAAAGACACAGAATATTTTTACAGCAATAATCAACATAATCCAGAGGATTCCTCCAGTCCAGAGGATCTGAAGCTCCTGAGGATCTGAAACTCAACAATATAGGTTTTTCTGTTCATTAGCTTTTTAAAAATAACAGCAGCAGCGTTAAGGTTTAAAATAAGTGCATACATTGGGTGATATATTTTGGGAGTCATTGATCCCGTCTGGTCTTAGCAGGGTTAGCAAGAAGAAGGTAGTAGACAACAATTTGAACATGAGCCAGCAACTAAAAAGCCAATGGGATTTTGGGCTGCATCAGAAGTAGCATAGTGTCTAGATCAAGGGAAGTCACAATGCCTTTGTATTCTGCTCCCCTGGAATACTGTGTCCAATTCTGGGCACCACACTCTTCTATTCTGCTTTGGTCAGACCTCACCTGAAGTTCTGTGTCCAATTCTGGGCACTACAATTTAAAAGAGAAAGGAGGGTGACTAAAATGATCAATGGTCTAGGGACCATGAATCCCTATGAGGAGCAGCTTAAAGAGCTGGGAAGAGAAGGTTGAGAGGAGGCATGATCGCCATGTTTCAATATTTGAAAAGTTGTCATAAGGAAGAGGGAGCAGGCTTGTTTCCTGCTGCTGAGACTAGGATTCGGAGCAATGGGTTCAAATTGCAGGAAAAGAGATCCCACTTGAACATTAGGAAGAACTTCCTGATCATAAGATCTGTTCACTAATGGAACTCTCTGCCTCAGGTTCTCCTTCTTTGAAGGATTTTGTACAAAGACTGGGTGGCCATCTGTCAGGAGTGCTTTGATTGTGTTTTTCCTGTATGGCAGAAAGGGTTGGACTAGACAGCCCATGTGATTCTAAGAGTAGGAGCGAGGAGGTGTTTAGCATTTGGATGAGAAACCACCAAAGGTGTTGTGGGCTATATTCCAGAGGGAGGAACACCCGTGACTATTCCATACCTATGCAAACTTGATGCCATAACTTATATTTTGTATGTATTTTGACACACATAGTCCAAAAAAGCAGTTTTTTCCAGATTCACTGGAATGTCTGCTAACTAAATCCGATGATTGCCAGATATTCCAATCTAGAATGTTGAAAAGTCCCATAAAACTTTATTACTCCTTCTGCCTTGTTTTATCACAAATGCGAAGCGGTTGTGTGAACATTCCTTGTTTCACAATTACTCTCTGTGATGGTTTGAATGAGTCCTACACCAGGAAAATCCATGATCACGACACCCCAACGTACTGCTTCTCCAGTTCGGGCTCTCAAATATTCGTAACAACGTGGATTGATCTCTTTGGCCAATGCCTCGGGGTTAGTGAAGAGCCCATTCCCAGAGCAAAAAGTAAGGTGCAAAACAGCCTTGTTACCAGTAGTTGCTACACCAAGATGCTCCTGCACCTGCTCCCATTTGCGCTCCGGAGAGAGAACGTGCCAAGCATCGCCAACACTGAGCTCCTCATAGGGGACTCCTAACACCTCGTTCTTTAGTTCCTCCAAGATGACAAGCTTCCCGCGGACTTGGCCTAAGGTAGGAAGGGCCTCTTTTGCCCAGACTCGGCCCCCTCCTTCTTCATCCAAATAGCGCTGCAAGCGAGGAGCAAAACCTTTATTGGGAATAATTGGGAGTTCCTCTTTCACCCTCATGAGTATTGCCTCCTGGGGGTGTTGCTGGAGGAAATTCAAGGTGTCTTTCAATACATCAGAAAAAGTGGCCTTTTGGAAGGTGTTGACATGGTAGATAAGGAAGTTGCCACCTTCTAGCTTACAACGAATATCCAGGAAGCGTACACCAGCCATTAATTGTGCTTCAAGCGGCCAACTCTGGCATCGAATCTTTGAGCCACCAAACAGACTCATGGAGTCATGAGTGCCGGGGATGGAAATTTGGGACAGAGAGAGATGGTCAGGTAAACATGACATCCAGTCAGGGAGAGTAGTAACGGGCCAAGGTGAGTTGTCAAAAGCCTCCGTTTGCTCCAACTCCTCAATCTCCATAGTACAAAGGAATTCACCTGCAGGGGATATGAAACAACATGACATTTGTTCAGATAGAAGCGATATTTAATGGATATTATTTTAAGTCAACTAAAACTATGTAAAATTACTGTGTGTGTATGCCCCCAAAGTTGACTTATGGCAATGACATGAATCTCATAGGGCTTTCTTAGGCAAGTAATACTCAGAGGTGATATATAGGCTACACAGTTGTTTTTAAACTGTTGTTTTTACACTATGTTATATATATATATATATATATATATATATATATATATATATAGCATTTTTATCCCATCTTTCTCAGCCCAAAGGTGACTCAAGGCAGCATGTGGATTGGCATCAATTTGATGCCACAACATTATTTGGGTTGTTGTAGGTTTTTTCGGGCTGTATGGCCATGGTTTAGAGGCATTCTCTCCTGACGTTTTGCCTGCATCTATGGCAAGCATCCTCAGAGGTAGTGAGGTCTGTTGGAACTAGGGAAAAGGGTTTATATATTGTGGAATGACCAGGATGAGACAAAGGACTCTTTTCTTCTGGAGCTAGGTGTGAATGTTTCAACTGACCACCTTTAAAAATGTAAACGTTCGTTTTCAGAACAAGAATTCCATTTATTTTAACAAGCTTGCAGTTGTTTCTGGTTGTGGACCTATTTGAGTTTGCAAATCTCTCATGCATGAGCACATGCATACCACCTGCTAATTATTTATCCTCTCTTATCCTCTCTTATCTCTATCTATGTGCAACTGGCATGCCAATCCAAGATATTTTGTTGTCTGAGAAGTAGCAGCAAATAGTCACCCTACATCCACCCAAAACAAGATGCATTTTATGGCAAACCAGTGACAAAGATTTTGGGCAAAGGAGAAAAGAAGTTGCCCACCTACCTTTCCCCATTCCTGGCAGTAAAACTACAATAGCAAATCAAATAATTAACCAGTTGCTATCCTTCCAGAACACCCAAATTTTTCTACCTAGAGGCAGCTACTTTGTTTTGAGTAATGGCAGTGTCAGATAGTTATAGTTAAGCTTTTGTTGTTGTTGTTGTGTCAGGAGTGACTTGAGAAACCGCAAGTCGCTTCTGGTGGGAGAGAATTGGCTGTCTGCAATGACATTGCCCAGGGAACGCCCGGATGTTTTGATGTTTTACCATCCTTGTGGGAGGCTTCTCTCATGTCCCCGCATGGGGAGCTGGAGCTGACAGAGGGAGCTCATCCACACTCTCCCTGGATTCGAACCTATGACCTGTCGGTCTTCAGTCCAGGGGTTTAACCTACTGCGCCACCGGAGGCTCCTATATTTAAGCTATGCTATGCTTAATAGCTATTAATTCTCTTGCTGTTGCCCAACCTTATTTCAATGGCATAGGATGTTTTGACTCAGGTCTCTTGCACTACTATAGACTGCTCTGCAGACTAAGCAGATCTTAGCACTTTCAATTTACAGTAGACTCTCAGTTAACTGGCATCCAAAGAGATTGGCATTTACCAGGTAATTGTAGTTCTGGTTACTTGAGAATTATCATTAAAAATAGGCCTAGTACTATACTTCATGCTATACCATGCCATAAACTTAGTATTGACTTGATATCTATACTGAAATTCACTAATTAAAAGCAAATAAAGGCAAACTTAATATAACACAGTTTTACTGAAAATTCACTAATTAAAAGTAAATAAGACAAACTTAATATTACACAGTTTTACTGTATTATAAAATTGGTTTACTGCATTATTTTAATTTTAATTTAAAGCATTATTTCTATGATTTTTTGCCACTTGCTTGAGTTCTGGTTAACTGAGTGTCTACTGAATAACTAAAGTCACTATTTAGAGTTAACCAACATTTATGCTGAAAGCTTACATACCCAATTGGAAACCACACTCCTCTCTTCTGTTTCTTACGCCAAGTGCTCTCCAGAGTTCGGGTTCCAGGTTGCAAAGGTATTGCAGAGATAATTTAATTAGCAATTCATTTGAATGATGTTGCAAGGCTTACTCAGGACTGACAGGTCTGACTGTCAGTTTGAGCCAAAGGAGGTTTCTGCTGCTTCCATATTTTACAGGTAATCTCATAGTTCGCTTAACCAACCTGGAATATCAGGCCAAATCCTGGCTTTCCTTTAGCTTCATACCCACCCATATCATGGTTTCATCTGCTTGTAGCAAGATGTCTCACCTTCAATGCCAAACCAAATATAAAAGGGATTGTAATTGGCGGTGAAACACATAAACATTCTTAAATTGGAATATTTAAACAATGTTATTGGTCTTGTTGGTAGAGGTTTGAACCTGGAATAGGGAATGGTCTTGGTCAGGGGTCCCCAAACTAAGCCCTGCAGGCCGGATGCCCATTTCCAAGATCATTTACCCAGCCACCATCCTGAATTTTAGACCTAGGGTTGCCTTAAGTCTGAAATGACTTGAAGGCACAACAACAACAACAATCATAATTAATTTGATTATCTAATCAGCCAAAAGCAGGTCCAGACTTCCCATTGAAATACTGGTAAGTTTATGTTGGTTAAAATCTTTCTTCACTTTAAATATTTTATCCTTTCATAAATTTTGTACTACAAATAAGCTGTGTGTAGTGTGCATAGGATTTTTTTGGAACTATAGTCTCCTCCCTCCCAATAGTCTGAGTGACCATGAAACGACCCTCACCTTTAACAGTTTGAGGAACCCTGGTCTAGGGTGGGTCAGGGAACTTCCAGATTAAGCTAGGGATCTGGGCTCCCTAATCCTAGTCTGTCGTTACAACCACGACATTCCATAGGGCTGGCACAAACACAAAACAATCTATGCGTAATGTCAAAGTGTATTATCGGGGCCGGGTGAGGTTTCCCGGACACGGAAAGGATTGACAGATCGATAGCTCTTTCTCGATTCTGTGGGTGGTGGTGCATGGCCGTTCTTAGTTGGTGGAGCAATTTGTCTGGTTAATTCCGATAACGAACGAGACTCTGGCATGCTAACTAGTTATGCGACCTCTGAGCGAATGCCATTTGGACTTTTCCTTTGAAGACTTATTTTGAGAAGCGGTGCTCCATTTTCACTGGACTTGATTTGGATTTTTTCCATGAAGATTGTTTTGAGAGTGGCGCTCCATCTTCCTTATTGTCTTCAGTCTACATATAGCGTCATGACTCTATGCTTACTTTGTTTATATGATTTTTCTTATTGAATGTATCCCTGAAGCCTACATACAGTGGAATCCTTATCCAGGCTTAGAACTGTTACATTTGAGAGCGGCTGCTCCTTTTGACTTTACTGTGTGCCACTGAATTGAGCTATGTACTGGGGATTTTGGTAAATGGAATACTATATGCTCTTTTGATAATACACTTTGACATTACGCATAGATTGTTTTGTGTTTGTGCTGATACCTCACAAGTACTCTGGGATATTGTTTAGTAATATGTATAGGGCTGCCAGATATCAGAGCTTTGTCTTGAGTTTGAAACATCGGAGACTAGGAGCAGCAGCGTCAACCACCCCCCAATACTTCATTATTTTCTAACCCTTTAATAAAATGTATCTGTTTTCTTTGACTTTCTGTGTAACTTGTATCTTTCCTTGTACTGCATTGATTTCTTTTCTTTTTTTAAAGATCTTATTGAATTTTACATAATACAACGAAAGAATGAGAACAATAAGAATGAAGAAAAAGAGAAGAAAAATAGAAACATATAAGATAAAGACATATAAAAAAACAAAAAAACAATAACACTAAGTTATACCAAACGTCCAAAAAGAGGGGAAAAAAGAGTGCAATAAAATAAAAAATAAAATAATAAAAGCAGCATCAAGAAACAAAAAGTTGACTTCCATTCCATCTTCTTGGGTATTGTCTTTCTATAAAAAAATTTATATTACTTTTAAAAAAATTGTCTTTTGTGTCTTTTATTTTTGCAAATTTTCTAGATAGTCATGGAGAAGATTGATTTCTTATATATTGCATTTATTTCTTATATATGAAATGTATAAACTTCCTTATTAAATGTTTCAAAATATAGCCCAGAGGCAGTCACTTTTCCATAACCCTGCTGAGATAATTCCTTTAAAATAACAAGGTTGGGCAAATCCTTCTGGCTGTTTCCCAAGCCATGTAATAGTCAAAATCCTTTGTTCAAGTGATTTCTCATGATAGACCCAGAATTCTTTGTTAAATGGTTCACTTGAGGCTGAAAGATTGCTGACCATGGAAACAGGAGCACAGAATATGTTCATTGTTAAACCTCTTTATTGACAACCCAGCCCTTGGCTGCCCAAGATCATCAACTTTGGTTTCAGGAGCCCCATACCTTTGTCTTTGGAAGCTCCAATCTTTGTAAAACATGGTCTTGATAGTGAGCAAACCAAAGTTAGTTATTCGTTCTTTAACATTGTATTTTCTGGTGACACCTCCTCCTAGGGAGGCAGCACATCATCTGATTGGCCCCTCGACCTGCCAATCCCCAGCTGTCATTTTCCTGTGAAAGAGAATCCCTGCCTGGAAGTGGCAACATCAGCTGAACTCCCGACCAATCAGAATGCAGTTCCAGGCCAGCCCCTCTTTCTACCAATCAGAGAAGGGAGCGGGAGTTTTGAATAGTTGTCAAACTATAAGACATAGTGTTTTCTCTGTATGTGTATGCTTGTACGTTTGAAGCATTTGCTTGTACTTGCAACCCTTTTGGCCAAATTGAATTAAATCTCTGTGACTTGTATTTGACCTGAAGAGTTATTTCTCTGTCCTAGCCCATTCAGTTTAGCATATGCTCACCAGGCAAGGATCCTTTTATCCGTGGTCCTAGTTGTCCACTTCAGTCTCAGTTCTGGGCAAAGGGAGAGACTACCTACAAATCTCCAGCTCAGCTACTAGATGAGCAGTTGGCAACAATTTTCAGGAATTCATGGCTTTGTTGCTGCAACTTGCAAATATCCTCCAGAAACCTAAATATTTATTTATCTTCATCTGTTCCTGCAGGTCTCAGGCTCACCTTCTGCTCTGCTCTAGATTAAATGTTCTTTATTCTGTCTCCTCTTCTGTGGACAAGTTACAAGTTACATTCCCTCAGTCTCAGAGGGAAACAAATGCAAATCTGCTCAGAATAAATCTTGCTAAGTAAAACCAGTGAAATGTCTACCTTAGGAATGCTATAGGTGGAAAACCACTTGAAGACACACAACAACAAAAATAAATATCAGGAGGTATGAATGGCTATAGACTGTGGGTAGGCAGTCATTACTTGAGGATCATACAGGCAACATGGAAACTCATCAGGCTCTTCCCAGACAGGGCTATGCCAGTTTGTGGGGCAATACATTGACCCATTGCAGAGCTTGACTTATTTGAACCTTCTATCTGACCATGCAATTGAGCAAGAATCCCAAGTAAAGATCTGACTTCTGCTTGAAGAAACTAATTGAAACCCTTCTGGTTTGGCTGTCAGGGAAAGAGTATGTGAAGGCTTCATATCTGTCTGTCCAATGTACATGTCATATCGGTTCAATTATAGTGCATTACTTCTCAGCAAATTTTACTCAAGGGATTCTGTAAGATACAATTATAGAAGGTGTTAAACCAGACCCTTTTCTGAAATCTAATTAACAATTACAAATGCAGAATCAGGCTCAAGGAGGTATATCATATTCATCAGTACTGAACAAAAAGGGTGTGATCTTTTTAATTGGGTTATCTGCCTACTCACATGAGTAGAGTGTAGGGGGATAGGATGCAATCCAGACAACACCCTTTTCAGATATTTCACTCTTACCTAATGCTCACCCACTGGTAGTAGGTTTTCCTATGCAGCAATTCAGGTTCCTTGTTTCCACTGTCCTGATTCTTCCCGCAAGAGGTCACGTTGGACTCTTTCCATTTCAGGAAGGACCACTTGACACATTGCTTCAACAACATGAATCCCATCATTGCCAGAACAGTCAGGAATAACTCCAGTGATATCAAACATTGGTCAGAACAGACATTTCTTTACAAGCAAACTTGCTGACCTATAAACATTTGTCAACAGTAGATGATGATAGATATAGGTTAAAGATGAGAGAGGACTTAATAATGGGGAGTTATGAAACAGTTTGCCTACAGGAAAATGAATGAACAAGTTAAGATTGTTTAAAAATCGAGGTTGGAAACATTTAAATCAGAATCTGTAAACTTACTGTGCCCAAATGATTTTTTTGGTCTTGTCAGGTGTGACTTGAGAAACTGCAAGTCGCTTCTGGTGTGAGAGAATTGGCCGTCTGCAAGGACGTTGCCCAGGGGACGCCCGGATGATTTGATGTTTTTATCATCCTTGTGGGAGGCTTCTCTCGTGTCCCCGTATGAGCAGCTGGAGCTGATAGAGGGAGCTCATTTGCCTCTCCCTGGATTCGAACCTGCGACCTGCCGGTCTTCCTGCCGGCACAGGGGTTTAACCCACTGCGCCACCGGGGGCTCCTGCCCAAATGATGATCATATAATGACTAAAATGTATAAATTGCTTCTAGAATATGATATGCAGAGTGACCAGTTGAAATGCTGTATGGTCAAACAGGCTCAAATATAGATACACAAATGTCGCGGAGGTAATAAAGGTTGGATGGATTGCAGCCAAAAAATAATAAGTTTATTTACATTTTATTTACAAAGACAAACACAAAGCAAGCATGTCTGCACTTTGGCAAAGACATCTCCGAAAGATGGTGATTGTAGTTGCTCTTATCAGTAAAGGCATGCCTCTCACATAGCATTCTGATGACTAAAGTCCGGTATCATCAGAGGAAGCAGGAAAACATTTCATACTGTCCTTCTAGGATAACTTAAACTTCTGTGGTCTGTTAACTCTACACATGCTAGGCAGCTTTACAAACACATGATCACAGCTTTAAAAACATACACTTTGAAATCTCCCAATAAATCAAACATGGCTCAACAACAAATCCATTTAGAACAGTATGTGAAGAGTTTGAACTTTACTTTAAGGAAAGGCTTGAAAGAAAGAAAAATAAGGTGATGTACAGATGGAATTTGACACCAAAGAGCTCTAACAAATGCTGAGAAATGTACCTCAAAACCTCAAAAACTCTGGCATAGACACTGAGAGCTGGGAAGCCCAGGCCTGGGAGCGCTCCAGCTGGAGGTCAGCTGTGACCAGCAGTGCTGCAGAATTTGAAGAGGCACGAATGGAGGGCGAAAGAGAGAAACGTGCCAAGAGGAAGGCGCGTCAAGCCAACCCCGATCGAGACCGCCTTCCACCTGGAAACCAAGGCCCTCACTGCGGGAGAAGATGCAGATCAAGAATTGGGCTCCAC